TGGAATTTTTTTTTTTAAAAAATTTATACTTTTAAAAAAAAAAAATGGGGTAAAAAAAAAAAAAAAAAAAAAAAAACATCCAAATTAATCAAAGCAGTATTTGTCTCTGTGTGTCCAAAATGACTTGACAAATGTAGAGATTCATTGATCAGAGATTTGTGGCCAATTTACGATTTCTCTTGAACAACTATATAATCAGAAGCTATAAAACATTCCATACGTTTTTTTCTAGGCTTCTCGCTGTGTGTCATCAATTATTTAAGTTACAAATAGAGATGATTTACTGCTACTGTGTGAGAAACTTATCTGTTATAAAAAAAGTGTTATGCTGTCATTTTAACACTACATAAAGTGGATGTTTAAGCTTTATTTTGCATCTTACTGGCTTGTATTACAAGAACAGCAATTTCTGTGTATATTTGCTCATGTGGGATTACCTTTTCCTTAGCTCCAATTTCCAAAAGACTGCCAACATTTTCAAATTCAGCATTTCCCCAAATAGATAGAGGACCTTCCTGTTATTTGCTGAAAGTATCACTCAGCCAAAAAGAAATAAAAAAACTGCCATTTTTTTTTCTAAATGAATAACAATTTGGCATTAGATCTACATAATGGAGATAAAAGGTATGGGGATATAAGTGTAGACTTTCCCTCTGCAGCCTCTGGTTGGTGGGGATCTGCTTAATGTCAGCAGTTGACTGATTTGACTGTTTTAATTTCCATGTTTTCTTGTTCTGATGATATAGAGTGGGGAAAAAAAAACAAAAAAAAACACATCTGCAGCTTGTTTGAGGAACAGTCAGGTCAAAGGTGACAAAGCCTTCAACAGCGTAAGGAATGCTTGTGTGCAAAAAAACGATTTGCACCTAAGATGTAATTAGGCTTTTAGAAAAATAGCTCAAAATCTCCACCACAACAAGGTTCAAAAAAGGTTCCTTTTACCTGATTTTGTTGTGCCTCTCCTCTGGAAGGTATGACAGTTTACATCTGTAATGAAAAGCATTGTCCTCCTTGTATGAGACGGAGAGCTGCAGCAACCAGATGGTTTCTATTTGTCCTTTCTCTCTGAAGGAGGGGGGTTGGTGGTTGAACATTGGGAAGGCTGCTTCTGAGTGAACGAGCTCTGCTCTGCTCTGCTCCTTGGGCCATGCGGATAATTTATGCTCCTAAATCGTCCTCCTCCTTGCACCTCCCCCTTGTAGAACTCTATAAAAAGACTCACCGGAAATGCCCGTCAAGCGGAGGAGTCCAAAGTGGCGTTAAAAACGGCGAGAAAAAGCCCCCCATTAAACTTAAGAATTCCTGCAATATAAACTCTATGTGGCAGTTTATATTGACACATTTTTCACAGCTATCGCGGCGTTCTTATGAGACGGCTTATAAACAATCAGAACAAAGTAGTGCTCGTCAATGTTTGACACTGTGTTTAGATTTGGCATCAATGATTCTTCTGCTACAAATTACTGCACTACATGCTCTACATATAGTTTACAATTTATTTGGTTTTCTTTTCATAATTTCTTTTTGTTACCACCGTTTTCCTTTTTAGCCGACTCGATCTTGAAGCGGGAGAAGCGCCTGCGGGCAAGAAGGGTGCATTTTGAGAATGTGACCGTGTACTACTTCAGCCGGCGGCAGGGCTTCACCAGTGTGCCCAGCCAGGGCGGCAGCACTCTGGGCATGTCCAACAGGCACAGCTGGGTCAGACAATACTCCCTTGGAGAGTTTGCCTTGGAGCAGGAGAGGATCCACAGAGATATGCTCAAAGATCACTTGAAGGAAGAGAAACTCAACTCAATAAAGCTAAAGGTAAAAGCTTATTTTGTGTCAATTAGAAATTAAACAGTTCAGTCTATAAATGCCTGTAATATATTGTTCAGCAGACAAAAGTCGTTAGTCTGAGGATTTATGGCAATTTGTTGTATTTAGTTTTGTGATAGCAATTTAATTCTAACATATTTCTTAAAAATATAAAGTGTTGACTTAGCTTGTTACATCCTAATTGTTTGCAGAGTTGCCCATCAAAAAAATTACAATTAGAGCTATTAAACGAAACTAAATCTTCAAAGTAACATGGAGGCGTTAGGTAAACAGTTGATACTCAAAGTGCCTGGACGTGCTCCGATCTCGTTTTTCAGCTGACCAAGAATGGCACAGTGGAGTCGGAAGAGGCCAACACGCTCACAGCAGAAGACATCTCAGATGACGACATTGATCTTGACAACACAGAGGTGGACGAGTACTTCTTTTTGCAGCCTCTTACTACTAAAAAGCGCCGGGCACTGCTACGCTCCTCCGGCGTGAAGAAGATTGACGTGGAGGAGAAGCACGAGCTTAGAGCCATTCGCATGTCCAGAGAAGACTGTGGCTGCGACTGCAGGCTCTTCTGTGACCCTGAGACGTGTGCTTGCAGCATTGCAGGGATCAAGTGTCAGGTAAATTCCACAAAATACATATTTTACACAGAGTCTTTACACATGTGTTGACAGACCTTGTAAGCATGTAATAATTCTTAAAATTATTGAGTCTTTTATTGCAGTGGCGTATTCTCACGGTGAAAAAATTTATAAAAGTTTAACTTAATTTGATAAAATGTATTTAATAGTAGGGTGAAACATCAACCTTAAGACATTTAAGTTAGTTTTTACCAAACTCTCCCATGTCACAGTCATAATGAAATTCAGTTTTTTTAAAGCTGATAGGAGGGTTAAAAAGCTTTCACTAATAACTCATGACTTTATGTTGCCTCTGACATAAATATTATACATGCATTTAGATTTGCCATTCTACAAAATCGGAAAGAAAAGAAAACAAGGCAGACATGTTGACTTTCATAAGTTGGAAAATTACTACAACACTGAAGCTTATGACTTAACGTGCCCTTACGTGCAGTCTGATCAATAAATAATAAAAAAAAAGCATTAACAATGGCAAATGGAGCTGGACCAGGACATGATTTAATCTTCTCGTCACAAATAGTAAAGATGGTATGAGGTAAATAAAATTCTGATAGCTCACTTAAAGAATTGTAGAAGCAAGTTGCAAACTTAATGTTACTAAACTTTCATAAGTACCACTAGATGTTTTGATCAAAAACATTTGTCCATCCTACCGTTACAAATGTTAAGTTGGCTAAATGCTTCTGGGATCTTAATGAGAGACAAATCCTGAAATTGTGTTTTCTTGCAACAATCTTTTACACATTTCTGAAGATTTTGGATAACAATCTGTTGGAAAGGAATCAGAAATGGCTCTTCCAGATAACAAAAAACAAGTTTCCATTTGATCCTTCAACTGGATAATGATTCGAAGTATATGACCAAACAAACAAAAAGGCACAAAATTAATTCCTTGCCCTAAATTTCAATTTGGGAAAGGTTTAAAAGAAGAGTCTAAACTCAGGATTCTGGACAAATGAGAGATAATGCAAAGGAATGACCAAAGTGAAGATTCAGTCCTGTGCTGTTAAAAAAGGAGATGAAGGCAACTGTGGTTTTGAAAACAGCTGTTACATAATGTAGGTCGACCTTCCCACTGAATTAGGTACTTTAAATTTGAGGTTGAGTTTCTCCTAATTTTTCAGCAAGAGATTATGTTAGTGCACTAAACAACAAATATAAAATACACCTGTTTGCCCATATTTGTGAAGGGTCCTGTCTATTTAAAGAAAAATGCATTGTCTGATGATAAAACATTAAAGGACAGGAAAAAAAAAAATCATTTAACAGAAGGCATGCATCACAGAGTGCTGTATTTTTCCCCAGGTGGATCGAATGTCATTTCCATGCGGCTGCACAAAAGAAGGTTGCAGCAATTCAACTGGAAGAGTAGAGTTTAATCCCATCCGCGTTCGAACTCATTTCCTGCACACCATCATGAAGCTGGAGCTGGAGAAGAGCCGCGAACAGCAGCAAACCTCCCAGGCCAACGGTTACTGCGCGGAAACCAACGACATGGGGAACGGGAACCTGTTCACGCAGTCGCAGCACAGGTTGGAGTACTCTTTGTCTGATGCTGTCCCACAGACGGCTGCAATGCACCTGCACTCTGCAGATGAGATGGAGGAGCCTCTGGATGATGAAGACGAGGAGGATGAGGAAGAAGAGGAGGAAGAAGAAGAGGAGGAGGAGGAGAACGAAGATGACGAGGAAGACGAGGAGGACAGCAGCAGCGTATGTAGCGGGTTGTCTGATTCCAGCACACAAAGCTTTGCGAATAGCGACTCGGAGGACGAGGAGGAACCTGCAGGGAAGTCTGAGAATTATGAGGCTGACATGACGCCTCTAGCAGTTTCTCACACTGAGGTGGTGCCAATGTCCTCGGTGATGTGCTACACTGACGGCTCCGTGGGTCATGACAGCCGTATAAATGGAAACCCTTACATAATGAACTCTTCCTCCGCTGACTACTATCAGCTGGGGAGCTCCAGTGCCGACTCGAAGGTCCATGCCAGTCGGCCCAGTGAGTCTTACAGGGAGGCGCTAGCATTCCCAGAAACGGTCGGCGCAACCAATGGAAATTTGGCCCAGGGACCGTTCAGCATGACCTCTGGGGAATTCACTGGCTACTCTAATCATACGGAGGAGGAGTACACAACCAGTCACCACCGTAATCTGAATGGGGGCGGTCCGGCTGCCGCTTTGTGCTGCTACCCACCCGACCAAAACACCAAGGTGCTGTCCAAGGCCATGTTTGTGGAGCAGCGCGAGAACCAGAACCAGACAGAGTTTCAAAACTACCTTAACAACAACAGCCAGGAGTCCTACAGCAGTAACAGCGTCACAGGTATGGCAGCAGAACAGCCACCCCAAGAATCAAGTGCTAATGAACATCCTGATTTAACCTTACTATCAAACAATACTAAGAAACTCCCTTTACCAGACCATTGCCCTGAGGTCACAGCCAATTAAGAGGCCTCAAGCTTTTAATTATTACATCCTCACTTGAACTCGACTATGGCATACTTTTATGGAACATCTTCATTGCCTTTTTTGAAAACTACTTTCAGAGCAATGTACGAAACAATACTACATTTTTCATCCATAACTCTTAAGCCATAGGTTTGTGATGGAAACACTTTTGTGGTACTGTTGACAAATGCAGGTTTCTCTGTTACCGTGTTCGTGCTCAGCTCCAAGACGATACAAAACAATACAAACACAACTAATGTCATGCTGTGCAATGTAGCTTGTATTTGCAGAACTCAAGTTCAAGTATTCAAGCAAATATTGTACTGTAGATTGAACTTCTGTCTGCTGTATGTGCAAAAAAAAAAAAGTCAGTTTTATTTATTGTGACTGAATTATAAGTGTATCCTTAAATATATTGTAAATGTTTTCGTAAAAATATGCATGCCGATTGGGACTCATTGGAAAAATTGCCTCCATTTACAAAACAAGTTGTATTAATAATGTCCAGTTATCTTCTTTTATGTCTTCAAAATCATAAGATTTCAGAATTCATTTAAATCCAAGTGACCAGTCATGTCATTTTGATGATTTTTGCTCTTAGTCTTATTTGGGGTCCAGTGGCACGTTTTTGGTTATTAATGACCAAATCTTATGTTTAAAACAATTGTATATTAAAATTGCAGCTGCAGCAGTTATATTTTTGGTTTATTTTTAAATAATCCAGGAAATGTTTGATTCCTTGAAGACAACAGAAAGTTTTTTTAAAGGGCATATACCATTTTGTACCTTCGGCTCTAGCTTGTAGATTACAATAGTAAACATTGCTCATGTGCAAAATCAAGGGAGCACAGGCAGGCAAAAATGCAGCCAAAAGCTGCAGAAGAGCAACATTACTTATGGAATGCAAATAACACATCCTCTCCTCTGAGAAGCCCCTTGCTCAACAACTGAGTCACCTTAGTGGTTTGGCTGTTGATTCCTTTCTCGAGCTATAGGTCATGATCATTGCAAACCTTTTTATATGGTTGTTCCTTTCCTTAAAAAAAATATTCATGTTGTTTCAGCGTCCAGAAGAGACTTTTTGGCAGGTGAGGACTATTCAAGTCATTTTCTACATCGATAATCTTTCAAAAAAAATAAAAACAGTGTACATTCTATCCTTTTCCCTCTCCGTCTATCAAGTGTCCATACACCCATTTGGTACAATCAAACATTCATACATTCTTTTAGTTGAGAAACAATTCCTTTTCTGTCTATAAATGCTACAGTCATTAGTGAAAGTCTTCCCGTTTCAGTGTTGATCTTCTTTAAATACCAAAGGAACGAAAGGCTGATTTAAAATGATTAAATTACACCTTACAGTCTAAAGAGGAAGTTGTTTTTTTATGTTGCTCCAGTAACATTAACTAAAGGAGGTTCAATAGGCATGATTGGGCTTTTCTTTTTAAGATAAGTTCTTAAAACAGCATAGAATAACCTTTTCATTTACAGTTGCTTTGCAGAATTCAGATTTGTTCTTCAGGTAAATGGTTACACAGAGTTGACAATCAAAGTCTAATTTTAAATAGGATTGATTTTATGAGCATTAAAAGTTGAACTACTGAATCATTTTAGCCATAAAGCCTGTTCATTTAAAATGTGTGCATAGTGGCATCTGTAAACATTGACAGAATGAAACTTAAAGATATTATGGAAAAGCTCAAACGAAGTCCATTAAGTCTTTGCTCATGCATAAACACAAGAACGTGCTCCATTTTCAAGCTTAAATATACATTCAAATTTACTGAGTTTAGCATTCAATCGTCACCATTTTGTTCATTAGATGGGATCTCCCAGAAAGTCCCCAAATAACTTTGAAGTCATCAGTTTCATCAACACAAACCTATAATACATAGAAATTGTGCCAAAGTGTACAGTGTGGGAAGGTTCTTGAAGGCATTGCACCCACTTAGGATTACTGTATTTTAATTTTCAGTATTTATTACGAATGGTTAAATGACGTGTATTTATTGTGCTTTACTAAAAGTCTGTATTAAGTAACTTGATATGTTAAAATTGTCTTTTGTTTCATGCGAGTTTATGTGAATTGTAACGCTTCATGTGCCTGGTTTCTTTAATTCTGCTTCATATTTGGTGAAATGCATAGGATTTGCACAAAATGGTCCATTCTGTTTTTCCAAGTTATGTTTTTAACTGTACACAAAGCCTACATAACTTTCAGTTGTTGTATTTTGACATGTTTTCAAATTCATTTTATAAAATGTGATGTTATGAAACATTTTCAATGCACATTGTCTGTACTGTAGAAGCTTGCCTTTTGTAGGTGCAAAAGTGCCCTCTGCTGACCACAGAAGGGAAGCGTGAGTGAACCAAGCTTTACCCAAAACTATTTATTTATCTCATAATCACATCTTAAGACTTTAAGTACACTGAACACAAAACATTTGGCATTTCAGAAAAGTCACCAAGTTCAATCTGAAGGCCCAATGCAACATTCACAGCCCTCAAAACACTAGTGCCTGCACCAGAAATGCATAGGTTCACTCCTGCAGAGGCATTTAATTAAGTGGATTTTCTTATAATAAACTGAGAGTTCCCCTTCATAATCACTAAAGAATAAACCCTCAAATAATTGACATATTTAGCTGATTTTAAAAATAAATTTCAATCACTCATGATGTTTTACTACTCTTATGTTTGTATTGCAGTTACTGTAAGTTTTGTCTTTTGATATTCAAACATCTTCAGACACACTGTTAACAAATCAAGTGGTCCTTTTACAACAAAATGCATTATAAAATAGGTCTTAAAAAAGAAAAGTTGGTATATCTTGATTTAAACTACTTGAGCCCCAGATGGTTTTCATAAAAAAATTACCCAATTTTATTTAAGACTGGGTAATTTTTTTTTTTTATTATATGAAATTACCCAATTTCATATAAAGACTAATAAAAAAATGTGAGATCTGAGGCACTTTTTAAATGGACATTTCCTATTTATACTGTCCATCACTTTACTAGGACTTTTTTAAATCACCACTTTTACTGTTTAGATTGAAATGTACATCCTCAGTGTATCTTGTTGCAGTATATGCCAGCTTTAGCTAATAATCTGGTGTATGCTTTGGTTGCAAAGTGATCTAAAACATAAAAGGCACTTGTCTAATGTGCAACTGAATGAATTCTTGGAGCAGAGGCACATGATGTATTCTTCCAAAATCCACAATTTCCAACAGCAGCAATAGCAAAGATTAGTCCTTTTATGTATAAAAAAATAAATTAAAATTCAATGTAGTTTATAATCTATAAAAAAAAGCTGCATACATTATGAGATACTTGTGTCCTTGTATGCTTCATGCATACAAAGTCAACATTTGCAAAGTAGTGGTTTGCAGACTCAGACGAAGGACCAGTGTTGATATTGGTCTGAGGGGTTGCACGGAGCCAAATATGGATTCTCATGATGGGCAGTTAGACACATGTTCAATCCTGGCAAGTAGAGCAACTGGTTCTAAGGAAAGAGGGGATAACATTACTACTCAGCTACAAACATAAAGGGTAACCAGCGAATCTGAAATGAAACAAATGGAAAAGAGCAAACTCACATCCTTCAGCTCCCATTTTTGTTGGGTTCCTACAAATGTATTCATGCCTTTGTACTGGCAGTCTTCCAGCGTCACAGCCAACCCTGCCCCATGCAAACACAGCTCCTTCTGAATGTTGTGTCTAATTTCGTGACGTGTGGAATACTCAAAGTACTGGGGGTGCAGGAAATGTTGGAAAATTAAATCACCATCAAAAAAGGTGGTGAAATCCCACCGAGGTTTTGACAAGACAGATAGAAAGTTTTTTTTTTTTTTTTTAACTGACCTGGTTTCCACCAAGTCCATGACATGGGTACATAATCAGCGGTTTCCCACCCTCGTTGTTCTCTCCAGCATCCAGACATGTGTCTTTCCCCACATTTTTTACCTACAGAAGGAAAAATAGAAAAAAAAAGGAGTGAAAAAATTGGAAAGTGCGAGTGAGCAAGAGGAAACAAAATGAAAAACTAACATCCAGCACAAGCTGTTCAAACAACTTTAGCCTCTGAAGTGCTTTTAGTGGTGTTAAATTGGAACTGACTTGTACCAAAAAGAGATCCCAAGAGGAAACTCATAGTGGCTAGACAGAGCTATGGGGTCTGAAATGAGGAGAACTGGTGGTAGAGAGTGTGATCTTACCGAGCCAAAGAAGACTGGGTTTAGATCAGGCATAAAAACTTCTGGATAAACGTTGTTCAAATACCACGAGAAGCTTTTGCACTGCAGTCGCTCCCGGAGGTCCACACGTTTGGAAATATCCCCAAAATTTCTCTATCGTAAAGACAAAAAACAAAAGTAGTTAGGGGGTAGCTAAAGATTTCAACAGTTAAAGACACTCTCTTGGCCCCATGTCTCATCAGTACACAGAGAGATTTGAAATAATTGGAAAACTAAATAAATGTTTATATACATTACTAAAAATTAGAGAAAGACCAATCAGCCATTTCCTGAAAGACATTGATCTTCTGTTTCTTCTAAGATCTGACCTGCTCTTAAGTTTATAAAAGTGTTATAACTACACTGTATTAAACATAGCTTGATGGAAGTAGAATTCAAGATAAAATGGAACTGATTTTATGCATCAAAGAATGCCTCCCTAATCTTTCAGATTTTCTTCACAAAAAAAAAAAAAGTTAAAAAAATATCATCAGCTTACATGCCGTTTGTTGATGCATTTAAGATAAAAAAAATGGTGGAATCTTGTATGTACTGAAGAAATACAAAAAGTCTTTAATGCTAGACCTGCCATGCACAATTGAAAATTTATTAGTATCTGGCCTACCTCAACTAAAAACTGTGGCATATTCACTTTAAAGTGGATAAGATATTTAGAATGTTTAAATCTGCAACCTCTTAATTTTGCAATAACATTTGCACAGCTGTGCTGTGGTGAGGGGGTGAGGGAAAAAAAAGTCACTCTCTTGGCAAGGAATAAATTAGTTACACCCTAGCAAACAATGACACCCTAGTAACAAACTATAAACTTTGTTTTCAAAGGCATGAAAAACATTTATTTCTCAAAATTGTAAGAGTGAAAAAATGCAAAACAAAATGATAATGGGTGCATATGGGCATACTTCAGTACAGTCATTTAGACATTTGGAAACTGCATTGTTTTAAGGAATGATTTTCAACTTGATGGAAGCCACATGTTTGGAAACCGGTGACAAAGTAACACTGAACCACCAATCATAATATAATAAGATGGGGGAAATAAAAACATGTGGCAATAAAAAAAAAAAAAAAAATCAGATGAGTGATCATCAATCTTTTTAAACTTGTGCTTACAGATAAGAATAAAATCTAAAAATATGTGGCGTGAAATTGTATTCAAACTTAAATAAGTAGAGTTGGTCCATTACAAAACAACACATGAACCTGTATTGTAGTCCTGTTTAAAAACTAAATGAATTGAAAAGGGGTGAAAGGGAAGTAATGACAAGAGCTCTTTATTAATACAGCAAAGAGAATTTAGCACACTGGACCCTAAGGAGTTGTGGACAACAGCATGTCTGAAATCTGCAGGACTGGATTGACCTCTTTTTGTGAAGTAAAGCCCTTAGAGAAATGTTTATGACCCCTTCAAGAGCACGTTAGCCAGCACCACGAGTCTGTCATGAAGTAGTACCGATGTTCTTTCGATAGCATCGGTACTAGATGCTATAGAAAGCATCTGTGTGTATGTTAAAAGAATTTGTATAGAGAATTAAACTCTTAAACCTTTCTCCTGGAGAGGGCATGCTTTCCCCTATGAGAGCATCTTAAGTAACGTATAATCAGATCTAAGGCTTGTTGTAAGCATTTCAAGGACAGGAGCTGGGATTTGCTCAAGCTTGTCTAAGAGGGAGATAATAAGTGGTCTTGAAAACACTCATACACAGCCATAAGTGGTAGAAACACAAGACACAGCCTCAGGAGCAATTTGCTACTCCTTCAAGACAAGCACATTTAATTGACATAATTTAAGAAGCGTATTAACAGCAAAACTGGCACTTACATTCTTGGCCATTTGTGCAGCTTGCTGGTTACGGCGGTAAAAGATCTCCTTGTACTCGTCCATCCAGACCTCAGCCAGTCGTACCTGATTCCGCGCAATCACCTGCGTGCCCTTGGGGAACGTATGTGGACTTTTGGTCCTGAAAACATGACCAACTACGGAACATGGGATGATCTCCAGCTGTCCACCACACTGCCACACCTGCAAGTTAATGAAAGCCGACAGAAACAGATGCAGAGTTAGACACACCCGTGACACCTTCTGGAAACTGGGAAAACTCCTAGGCTCAAAGGCGGTTATAAATAAGAAAGCTGATGCTGAAAATGACACCAAAGTGACATCTTACCCTAAATGACATCTCAATGTTTTCAGCACCCCAGATTTCCATTTTTTCATCATAGCTTCCAATATGGTAAAAATATTCTTTAGAGATTGAAAAGAGTCCACCGGCAAACGTGGGAGTCCTATAACGTACAAGGATTTTATTATAGGAGGTTAAATATTAACACATTGGTCACATACTCTATTGAGTCACATATTGTATTTACTTTATGGGATACGTTTCATCCTTTCTCCTCTGCTTCTCATGATCGGGTAGAGTCTCCCAGCCAAAAGAGAGACCCCAGTCAAAGTTCCCCCGATTGTGGTGCTGACCATATGGGGAAGGTTTCATGAACTCAAACGTATTGAGGTCAATAGTTGTTATGTCAGGACTCACAACGGCGGTGTAGTTCTCAGCAATCCTTGCCAACAGAGGTTCCAGCCACCCATGGAAACACTCACCTGTTAGTGCATGCATAGAGAAGACAGCCTGTCACAGCTCTATTATTATTCATCGCTACAATCACAAACATTTTCAAGAACAATACAGTGCATAGTTAAGGGCGTGTGTAGAATAGTTTAAGTGTTTGGTGACGTGAGTGGTGTTGACTAACAATGGGCGTCGAGAAAGGTGAGGGTGTCACCGGTGGCCACGGAGGCACCCAGCAGGCGAGCGGTTATGAGTCCTTTCCTCTCTCGCTGACGGACTACTCGGACAATGTTCAGCTTCTTCAGATACTCATCCAGGTCATCCTTCAAAACATCTGAAAATTTAAGATTATAATTAAAGGAGTCTGTTGAAAACTGGGATACAAAGAACGGATGCAGAGAATGAGAAATTACGGTAATTGTTTCTGCAAAGTTCAAAATAACTATTGGAATTAGAAATGAACTGTAAAATGGCCTGGTGATTGGATCAGAGGAGTGTTTACCTTCACCAAAACTCAAAAATCTTTTTACAAGCATACACCATATCTAAGCACTACCATGCCACGGTAACTACAGCAGTCTTCAGTGTGAAGGTTGGTACTGCAGGAACAACATTTATAGCTATAAATGTTCATTATTAGTGCTCAAAGTCAGACTGTGGTTGGTGCTGATCATTTTGCTCACGGCCATTTTTTACTTCTGCCACATTAAATCAATTTATACCTTGACTGGAACATTTTGTCAAATGGGCACAAGATTGAATTGAGTAAAAGCTGTCTGCAAGACAGAGAATGATGGCAAGACTTTCAGTTTATACCAGGAAGGATAAGCGTATCACAGCTAGGTTGCTCTGTTTAAGCACTTTGAGCTTACAACCGCTGTCAGCCGTGGAGCATGCTGGATCTGTAAATATTAGCATATTGGAAATGTCACCATTAAGATAAGAGTTTACATTTCCTGGAAAACAAAGAGGCTGCTGTCTAAATCTAGTAATGCCAATCCATTTACCAATTAAATTGTGAAAGGGACAAATATGTAAACCTCTCATCGCAAGACGCCAAGGCAAACATATTTCAAATTCTCTACAAGTTTCTGAAGAGAAATCAAAATTGGCTAAAATTGGCATAGACAATACAGTCCTTCACAGAAAATGGAGATTAGAAATAGACGATACATTTCTAAACAGTAGCTCTCTGATAAGATGCAAACTTAGAGTACCTCATATGTTTGGATAAGACTTCCCAGTATGCTAGTCTCTTAATACATCTGACCAATATCATTGTGTTATCTCTTCTGAGGCCAGTCGCTGCTAAATCCTTAGAAAGTATTCACCAACAGCCTCTTGAGTTCATTTGTTATCCACATCAAAAGCCACAGAAGGAGCATAGTCCTGTCCTATGAGCTGCCCACCCAGCATGCTACCTGTAATGAACCCAAAAGCTCAGCAGAGTGGTCTTTACAGGGGTCCCATTTAATTTTTTTTTTTTTACCATCCACACTGGCGTCGTCCACAAGGATGATCTCCTTGAGGAGAATTGCAGGGGAAGTGTGGAGGACGCTGTAAACTGTCCTCAGCAGAGTGCTCCACGCCTCGTTGTGAAACACAATAATCACACTGGTGGTCGGCAAGGGGGGACAGCGCTTAAAGGTTTGCTCGATGCATCTGCAAAAAGGAGGACAATGGAGAAAAAAAAAAAAAAAAGATGTGACTATCCTGAAAGTCTTAAGAGATTGAGGTTACAACAACTGTGGAACGTTGCCAGTAGGGAGTCTCCTTAAGCTGCATTTGTCAACCTTTAAGCTGGAATGGGGGAGATGTTGCTCAGTAGTTCAAATACATGCAACCCATTTAGCAATTCAGATGGATGACATTTCTGCCTGTGATATGTGGTGACTACAATCAAATACTTCGATTTCAACTTTCATCTGAACTCGGCCACAAGATCACACCGGCATGCAGAAATAATAACTTAGTCAGTACAATCATCTCAGTGGTTTTGGCCAGACATTTTCCTCTGCTGCTAAGAGTAAATAGAAGTAAGTTATTTAGATTTGAAAGTAGGGTTGGATTACTGTGTTTACATTAAAAAAAGTTTATAAAGATGTCCACATACTCTGGTGGTCTTGTGTCTGCGCCCAGGTCTCGGCTCAAGGAGACGCGATCGCTTGCATAAACGTTGAAGCAGTGCTTCTCTTCACCCCTGTCCTTCTCCTTCTGTTCTTCCGGACTGAGTGAATCCGTGTGGAAAGGTTTCCCAGCAGCTCCAGGAGAGAGAGGGTTCTGGGGTGGCCTCTCTAGAGCCGGCCTGAGCTCAGCAGCAGTGTAGTGACCCGGCAGGCAGGAGGCTCCCCCTGGTTCATCCTGCTGCCGTATGGGGGCTTTGATCTGCATCTTTGGCTTTGCCTGCTTGAAGTTATTGACAGCCCCTATGACCATTCCCAGCATGCTGTCACGCTTCACTGCCATCTCCTTCAGCCAGGGATCCTCCTGTTGGCTTTGTGCCCCCACTTCCCATTGTATAAAAAACAGAAATGTGACAAACACTATGGTCACTATGACCAGTTTAAGTGGATGCAGCGGTCTTCGGAGAACTCTTCGAAAAACACTCATCCTTCTTTCTTGGCTGTGGCTGGTTGTGGATGAAGATCCAGCTGTAATAAACACACATGCTCATACATTAACATAAATGCAGTGTTTAATATTAAGTAACCATCAGATGCAAATTACACATTATTTACTATGTATTGGTGCTACACTGCAGTGTTATTTCAAAGTTTGTTTGTATCCTAAGATTGCACTGAATTTTGTCATCATCACACCTTTACAGTCAAACTCAAAATTGATCATACCCCCATATTTGGGGGTGTGATTTTTTTTTTTTAAGTTAATATTTTTAGTCACAAGTAATGTGTTGAAAATATTAAATGATTACTTTAAACCCAAATCTGCCAGAGGCATAAATAATTTTGGCCTCAACTGTACAAGCCATTTACTTTTAAAGACATAATTTAAACCTGATTTCATAGCCCAATCACAATAATTTAACGACAGTGCAAAAGTCAAAATGAATGGCACATGCACATACCGTGGCTGGATTGAATATTAAACATATTAGCCTATTATTCAATTATATTTTATGTTTTAAGAAAAAACACACTCCCTCTGCCCTTCCCTGTCGTTTTAATTTATCCAATTTCTTGTAGAATTTAACTTGTTTTAGCTCCTAAATTATCTAATGTATAGCAGGAAAAACGTCCATCCATAGATAATGTAAACTGCTACGCCAATTTTACTGATTAAAGTTTTTTTAACAGCGTAAAATTAGTTTCAGTTCAATATGAACTTTAACATATATAAAAAAAAAAAACAGCAAACACAACTTAATTATCATCAAAACATTAACCGCACATGGTTCAAATGGAACAAGTATCTGCAAATTCTTAATCGGAATTGTCTCAGATCTGTGTATCAGAATGACAAGTGATTTCGCATTCCTTCAAACAAAACAACACGTACCACAAGTCGCTGAACTGAAGCTTACGCTTGGCAGTTCATTAACGAAGTTTTAAAAATCCACGGATATGGCATTTTGCGCTAACTGGAGATCATCTGTTTGCTGCTTTAATCCCACAAAAAAAGTTCAATTTTCAAAAAAGACAAAAGTTTTCTCTCTGACTTCAACAAACTTCCGTCTCGTTGGTTCCAGGTGTGCTCCTCTCAGGTAGAGGGCGGTGGCACGGCGGTGCGCGTGCGCACACCAGACCTCTGCGTGTCAAAATAATGGTCAGAATCCATATCTGGAACACAAAAGAGAACTCTTATTCAAACAAGAGCATTCTTCTTTTAAATATCTGAAGCTAATTGTTGATTTCAGACCAATACGTAGACGATAAGAACAAACCTGTGGCTGAGCCAAAGCGAAACCAGTGTTTTCCCATCGGAGCTGCTGAGAATCTGGAGCGGTGTCATTAATAGGATTTGTTCAACTGGTCATTCACTGGGGCAGTTGCTGGGTTACAAATAATGGAGGAACGCCATATACCCCACCGCGTCCAATCACGCTACTGGGAAGCACCACATCCTGCTCGTAGAGCTTAAAACTTCAGAGTCGATTAAGAAACTAATAAACAGAAAATGATCCGAAACGAATCATTGAAGTTAGAGTCATCATCCAGCATGTGAGCGGCTTTAGTTCTTTTTTTTTTCTTCTTTTCTGATAGAAGTGATGAAAGCTGACACTCACCGCTTGTCTAATCTCTGAAATGTCCCAAGAATAAAGCTCAAGACGATTTGGATGATTGAGGGAGCAGAGAAACCGGCTCCAGCCGAGCTGACCCTCCCCTGGTGCCCAATTTGGAGTCTGTCTCTCAGTTACTCCATCTGTGGGGACTGTGCCCCCCCCATCGCTTCCCGTGGCAGGAAGCCAATATATTATGTCCATTAAAATGCTGACTGTGTCCTGCTGGTCACGTTTGTAGGTGTCGTTATGTTCATCATCGTTTAGGAGGTTGATAAAATAAAAAAAATAAAAAAAAAGAATGTGGCAAAAACTCCAACTATGTTTTAAAAGGATTCTTCTGAAACCTATTTTCACCCATACAACAATTAAAAGTTCAGCTTTCAATCACCATGGGTGCCTTCAGGAGGTTTTGTGAAGGATGGCCAGATGGGGGATCAATAGCCTTGGAGTGGCACATAAAAACTAAAACAAACAGCAACAAAAAACATAACAGATTATCAGTTTTATTTCGATATGAAAAAAAAACTTGAAAGTGCTCTGACAAAGAATATCCCCTTGGCAGAGTTTTTTCTTTGAATTGTTTTTCCCCCTCCACACATACATGTTTCAGTTCATCAAACCAATTTCAACATAATACAAAATGCATACACAATGCAGTTTTGCAAGGATGATTAATTATTTAGTAAAACACACAATCCTGACCTATGAAAAAGTAATTTATCCATAAACCACCCTTAGTTTCTACAACTGGCACCAAGAGTTTATAACGGGTAATGACCCTTACATCATAGTGGAGAATTTTTTTTTCTCTTTTTTTTTTTGCTGAATTTATTCTCAGCAACATTGTGGGATTTTCAATATGGATTGCATACACAGCATGTCCATTAGGGTGCATGTCAATCTGACTATACTACTTTTATGTGCTTAAGGAATACAGAGGTGGACTTGATGGCGTTTGATAGTTTCATTCTTGTCTCACAAATCCATGGAATGATTTCCCAAAAGTCTTGTGGGTACCGAAGATGTCTTTTTGGCAAATGTGAGATGGCTTTGTGCTTCTATTGCTCACTGGACATCCTTCCAAGTTCCAACACAGCAATGATCAAAACATAAACACAAGGCCAAGTCACCCTGTAGCTAGTAATACTGTGGGTTCTGAAGTGGCCACCTCAGTCTTCTGGCTCCAGCATCATTGAGCTACAGTGAAATATCCATAAATTTATCAGAGAATAAAAAAATAAGAGCACAACTGTAGGAAGATATATGTATGCCTGGTCCTTGCAAAGTGGTCAACCCAAATGCACAAAAAGCAGAATTAGCTTTTTTTAATTTTAGTAATGCATTTTACAGTGTATGCTTTATTAACCAGATGTTCTTACTGTCAGTTTACATTTGTTTATAGAACAAAAACACATCACCGGGTAGTACCTTTCACAAACACACTGCTAATACCTCTGGAAAGCAGAGGGTCAGTAAGGACTAGTAAAATGTAAATGTTTCTAAGATTTCCATTTCAATCTGCAAAAACATTTATATAGCCGTTTCATTGCTAGAAGCTTTCAGCTGTACATATTCCCCAAAGACTCTGCTCTGTTTTCTCTTTAAACTGTCAGAAACCAACTTTTCATTTGCTCAGAAAAATCTACAAAACCATGTGCTTAAGGGTCTGCTCAAAGGCATGAGAAAAATAACTACATTTTCATTTTAAAGCAATAAGCAACTCTCTTTCAATCTTTCTCAGGCACACACGCAAAAACACGCAACTATGATCTCAAGGCAGCACGAGCTTTGTCCAGGATTTCCTTCCTCATTTTTGGATAATCTGGATGAGCAGCGAGAACCTGTAGACAGAAATGGAGCTGCGTTAAAGCATGAAACCACATCAAACCACATGAACTGTGATCTTTTGTTTTCAGATGCCTCACCTTATGACACACATCTATGGCCTCAACGTACCTCTTTGCTTTCAAGTAGTTAAAAGCAAGCTTGTATCCTAAATGAAACGCATACGTTTGATGTTAGAAATGTAACTTTAACTTAACTCTTGTGAGTAGAACTTGACATCTGATTTGGCTCGACATACCAATAGCTGGATTTTTCTGATTTCCATATTTCCAAGCCATTTCATAGTTGAGGGCTGCATCGCGGAACGCCTGGTCCTTTTCCATAATGTAGCCCTGATACTCATACGCTTTGCAGCATGACTGGACATTTTTAGATTAAAAGTCGTGTCAGACAAAAAAAAAAAAAATGTCCATGTGAGTGGAGAATGCTGAACTAATGCCTTATTTCAAAAGTAACAATATATTTAAACTCACCTTGTTATGATTGAGACATCTTTTTAGAAGGTCTGCAGCCATGTCATACTTCCCCGAGTGGATGTATATGTCTGCCAGGAGCAGCCAGCTCTTCTCAAACTCGTCAGCGTCAGCAATGTTCCAGTTCATCTTGGCTATTCGTTTGAGCTGGTTCCTGGCTCGAGGAGTTTGTTTCAGCATCATATATGCCGTTGCCATGGCCAACAAAGCTGGAACGTGGTCTTTCTGAATCCCACAATAGAAAGCAGGAGAGGCAGGATGAGTCCCTAATCAGTTTATAGCACAAAAATTAACTCTAAACTGGTTAATAATAAGACACGGAAAAGCTAAGGTCAATTAAAAAAAATATAACTAAATGTCACTCAACAATATGAGGAGATTGCCTGAAACAAAAACAAAACAAAACAAAAAAAAAAAAAACGCAAAGCTACTAGTGTGGGTATATTTGCACAAGAAAGAATAATGTCGTGCACCATCTGGAGTTTACTTACCTCATTGTTTGCGATCTCTGTGAAAACACTGAGGGCTTTCTCTACATTGGCCTTCTGTTTAGTAGACAGCAAGCAGTAGTTCTCCAGGATGCGGAGCTGTACGTGTCCGCCTGGCGTCTGAGGCTTTATCTCCTTCAGAAGCTTCTCTGCTGTTCTCACAGCAAGCTGCTCAGACTCTTGCTTTTCTGTGGAGTTGCTGAGGAGACAAAATGGAATTGTAACAAAGTCTGTAATATTTGAAACTGAGACGCACACACACTCTGTACCAAAGGCACTGTGAGGATCCTGAAAAACGGGAGGCTTATCCCAGACCAGACAGCCTTACATCTCCATATGATAATGACAATTTTAAAATAGTTTTACATTGAAACGACGTCAGCATGTTTTACCATGAGGCCTCTTGTTTTGAGTAAAAATATTGCAGTGAAGGAATGGAAACAAAGAAAGACAATATAAAACCGATGAGGGAAAACTGATAAAATAATGAAATATTTGAAAAAACTTTTGTTTTATTTGAAACTCAAGAAAAACAAATAGCAGTATGGTGAATATAGGACTAGACTTTGACATTCTAACAAATTAATACCTTTTAATCTAAACTATTTTGCTGTATCCCGTTGTGCAGTTCAGTTTTAAAAGCACTCTTACACTTAGTAGTCAAGACATCTGGCTCTTGTGCCATAGATAGGATGAAACTTCCCTTCCTTGGTCAGGAGATCTGATGCCCTTTACTTCTTTGTGTCTCTTTGTTCTGTTTCTCCTGTGTTTCGCAGTGGACACATTTCTGGGTAGGGATGCTTGGTTCATTCAGGAGCAGAAGCTACCTGCCATTTGCTGTGCCTGGGTGCTGAGTTCTGAGAGGTTTCAACCCTTCTCACAATAACTTCACACCTTCAGGTGATACATTCACACATACCACAACCCAAGCACCCTTACAAATAATGAAAACAGCCCAAGGTCATGCAAATACAGGTTCCCTTTTCAGTAATTTCGCCTGTCTACTTTGATGTCAGACGGAGTCTTGAAACCGTTAATCGTATTGTTACTGTAGAGTAAAGCTGCCTTGGCACCTGGCTTCCCATGGTGTGCCTACAAGACTTCCATGTGACAAAAAAGATATATATATTTTTTTAAATATTATGAACATCTGAAACTTGTTTTTTTTTTTTCACATTTTATATAAATTTAGACCCAGAATGTTTGGGTCTACTAATGCTTCTCAGTAAATTACAATATTGTTTCAATAACTCAATTCAAAAAGCAAAACTCACATGCAGATTTGTTACATCCGCGCTCGCTCCGTTGACCTTTATCCAGTCAATTTGTCAGTCACAAAAATATCAACGAAAGAAGCTGGCTGTTCACACAGTGCGATACTGAAGAATATTAATAAGAAGCTGAGAGGAAGAAAAAACTGGCAGAAAAGTCTGCTTAAGCAACAAAAATTGTGAAACAAACCCCACTGAAGGGTGCGAGTGAAATTCACATGAAACCCTATTAAGCACATGGGAGATATAGTCGGAGAACCTTTGGAAAATTTTAAGATCAAGATGAGAGAAGCACAACAAGCCAGATGAGCTGAAGCCCAAAATTAAAGCAACAAGGAGGTTCCTGAAAACCAATAGGCTGCATTGTACTAATGCAATAAATGATCAAAAGGAGCACTGACCAAGTACTAATAGTGCAACCTATTAGTACTTGTTCTGAAAAATCTTTTGTGGGTTTCCATTAACTGCAAGCTACAGATATGCAAATGATCAGAAATAAAACCTTGAAATATATTTTCACTTTTTAAACTGAGCTACTAATTGTATCGACTTGTATTGCCATTACTCAGCTTGTGTGAAACTCACCCAATTTCACCATCTAAATTCTCAAACACTTCTCCTCCGATTGTGTCGTTGTCTGGGTTGAGCAGGATTTCAATCATGTTATATACGGCATTCTGACCCCAGTCGTTATCTTTCCGAGCCTTGTTGAAATGTAGCAGAGCGTCGATAGGTTCTCCTGTGTACCTATGCAAAAAGGCATGAAGTTTAGACCCAAAACGTGAAAGAACAAGACTGGCTAAAATTGACCAAACTTACCAAAGATAAAGCCCCTTGCAATAGTTGAAGCCTGGATCCAATTTAATTCTGGAACAATGTTTTTCTGCCTTATCAAGGAAACTGGGGATGTTCTCCAACTTGCCGGCTCTTCTCAACAAGTCAATAAGATGTGATAGAGTTGGGTAGTTGTCTGGGAAAAAAAACAAAAAAAAAAAACACCTGGCTTTCAGTTTAGGAAACGATCACTTATTGTTTATATTTGCCAAAGAGA